TTAATAACAGATCAAGGTCAGATCACGCTTCATTTTAAATTAATCCGGCTTGATGCGTATAGTATGATATGATACGATACGATACGACACGACATGATGCGAGATAATACGATGTGATGCGAGGCGATGCGATACGATGAGATGCGACACAATGCAATGTGATGCGATGTGATGCGATGCGATGCGATGCGATGCGATGCGATGCGATGCGATGCGATGCGATGCGATGCGGGGCTTGAAGAGCCGAAGGGGCCTTAGGGGCCTTAGGGGCCTTAGGGGCTTTAGGAGCGAGGGACCGAATCCTTTCGTTTCGACGGCTCACGTGGATCTCCTCGTCCTTCATGGCCATATATGTATGGCCAGCCGCACTTGACCTATATATTATTATGCTATTGGCGTACAAATGTAACGCGTGTCGTTTGCGAGTGTACCCGCAGGGTTTTACCGAGGTTAAATCTGATTAAGAGTTTGTCGTAAGTTCTCACTCGCTTGTCTATATCTATGTACTTATTTATCTACATATCCGTTTGCCAGTGAATAATCAATCGTGTATAGTACGTTCAAAGTTTTACGATAAGTCATAAGTTGCTCATTCTGATATGAAGATGAGATATAAGGTATATTTTATATTTTATATTTTTACTCGTTTGAGTACGTTTGAGTATTCGATGACTCGAGATTTTGACTAATCGATTCACTTTAATTATTTCATTTTACGTGCACATGTGCGTGTATGTAGACTGGATAATGTCTCTCTTGTATCGGAGCTATATTGTACTACAAATTCCCTTTCCTTCGTTCAAGGTTTAATCGGAATGCCCTTCAATCGAATGTCTCATTCTTGACCGGTATTCAAGAAGGCCACGAGACCATTGAGACCATTGCCGCTTTGCCACGCACTGAACTTGGTCGCTGCTATAAAACGGATCGCGCACAGTATGAAAGGTCAGTGAGTGATGGTGAGTGACGATGCGCTATGCGCTATGCGCGTACGCGCTATTCGCTCGAATCTCGCACAATTTTGATACATTTGTGTTTTGAATTACTTTTTTTTTTCCTTTAACGAAAAAGGAAGATCGATGATGAAATATTAATTTTATCGTAAAGAGAAACGATAAAGAGATTACAATCAATATACATGTGTATATATGTATATTATATTTTTGGTACAAGTATACGAGAAGACATACGTGTGAAATTTAAAGGAAGAATATAATCACCAAAGTGATTACAGTTACCGACGTGCCGAAAGTTACAACTTGGAGAGATAATCGCTTTCATCTGATAAAAAAATATGGATTTTCAAGTATCTCGAGAATTAAAAGACCAAATTAACAATCCGTTATCCTCGCCTCCACGCATAAAGAAATCTGAGACAAAAGACAGCATTTCTTCTGTAGACAGCGACGTAAGTCTTTCTTTCGACAAAAAGAGTTCTTTCAAGAGTGACGAAGCCGACTCATCCGATTACGATATCGAGAGCAGGTTTGTAAAGAAAATGAATACCGATCAAGATTCGGGTGTAGATTGTGTGGATGATGTTACAACGAAAGAACCGAAGAAACAGAAGACAGAAGTGGCAAATCTGATATCGCAATCGTCAATGGAATCGTCAGTGGTCGCGAGAGCGACACATGATTTCGCGATGCCGAATGACGAATTAGCCGATAAGATATGCGCTCAGGTGGAATACTATTTTTCCGACGAAAATATTATAAAGGATGCGTTCTTGCTGAAACACGTGAAAAGAAACAAAGAAGGCTATGTATCCCTTAAATTAATATCCAGCTTTAAAAAGGTGAAGCATCTAAGCAGAGATTGGAGAGTAGTTGGCGCGGCCTTAACAAAGTCTAAGAAACTCGAGATTAATTCGCAAGGGACCAAGCTGCGTAGAATAAATCCTTTACCACTATTCGATCAGACGGCGCCTTCCAGGACCATCTTAGCGATTAGATTACCTATCGAAAAATTAACGGTCGAATCTGTCGCCGAGATTTTTAAGCCTTGTGGTGAAATAGCTTTGATAAGGGTGCTTAAACCTGGACGTCCCATACCTCCCGAGGTAAATATAAGAGCTACCAATTATACCGATACAAAAATTAATGTAATCGGTGAAGTTCCTGGGGTCTCCTCATTTTTCAATTATCGTCGGCAATTCAACAGAACGGAACGTTACTCAAGCCTGTGGACAATAATTAGTAACTTGGATAATACTTGTTTATCGCGTTTCGATTCTCGTCCGTTGAATTTTTTCACAATTGCACTGTACCGTGATATAATTATGGCATGAACTATTATCGTGACGTAACTTTTATACGTTGTAAAATCAACTTACATTCAATACACTCATTCGCTAACAAGCCTCAATCGATTCGTAAGAGCTAACAAAATACCAGAATTTTGTCGCAGTAACGATTATTTTTCAATCGGATCGATCGTTTTACATCAGCTGTTAACAAATGAGATATTCTACATGTAATGTAATTTTTTTTCTTTTTTTTTCACTCATTAAGCAAATTATATCCTTTCAATCGTTGGCATCGACTTTCGAAATTATCACATACGATTTAATTGAAATTTTTCTAAATTTGTAGGTCTTTAATGTTTCGATTCACGAATCACGTTTGATTTTAGAAATCTTGGGCGCGTTCTGGGGTGCGTTCAGAAATAACACCGAGTATCATTTTATTCTTATTTAATAATATTCGATTAAAAACAACGGATAAAATGATATATCCAGTGTTTCTGAACTCAGCGGAACAGAGCGGTCAGTGAGCGATCAGAGTCAGCGATTATCAACCTTTACCGTTAGATCTGTAAATTTAGGCCCATTATGTCAACGAATTACTCATTACTGTGCGATCGTTGCGTTCCTTCAACGTAGTCGCTTTATCGCAGCTTGTGTAAATAATTAACTGCGAAAGTTATCGTGCATTAATTTTCTATCGTGTAAAATTAATGTTCGATGAAAAGATGTATTCCTAACAATATTGTTGAAACTGGAAATAAAGTTTTAGTAATTACGTAGGTTCGACAGGCAATTGCGAAAAGGCCAGATTTGTCCTCTATCGAAGAGTGCGCTATGATCGAGTTCACGGATTCGGCCTCTGCGCGAATCGCAACTCAAATGGCCTTGGGTGACGCAAAAGTATTCGAATTACGTCACTCGACTGAGAAAAAGAGGAAGCATCAACCTATGAAGAAATCTACCATCAATAGAGTAGCGAGAGAAGATAATCATAATTCGTCTAGTTGTCCCAGCGGATCCGAACCTGAGGATGGGAGAATAAGACACAAGAAAAGTTTTCAAGGATATCCGATGTGTCATACTTACCCCTTTCAAGGTATTACGTTTATATTAAAAAATTTCACAATTTCATTTATATCCTATACGAGATGAATGATCATGGGTCATTTCAGTCGTTGATTTCTCTTTATTTATTTTTTATTTTAATCATTTATTTTAATCATTTTTAACTTTTGATATATCAGATATGATTAAACTTTATATATAAAGATTTTATTAAAACGAAAATAAACCTCTTTCCGAGGTTTTTTTTTTTTATGTACGAATTGTTAAGAATTTTTCGAAAATGTTAAATAATGGTTCGAGTTCTTTTATATTATTGTTATTATTATCGTTTTTATTATTAACATTATAGGGTCATCATCACCGGACACATGGTTATCTCGTAAGCTCTCTTCCTGTTCCATATCCAGTTCCGAAAATGGTTTTATGTCGCGTCGTCTGTCTTCCTGTTCCGGTTCCGGTTCCGGTTCTAGTTCAGATTCCGGTAGACGTTATTCTACGTGTTCGTCCGGCTCCGAAGCAGCTTTCTTTCATCCAAGTTACTCGAACAACTTTTATCATCACGAAAGTCGTCGTTATTCTTGCTGTTCTTCAGCTGGTTAGTAATCATGGTATCTAACATTGACTTAATATTAAGAAAGAAACGATACAATGTAAAAGAAAAAAAATAGGGAGATTGTTACATCCACGAGGATTGTTATCGAGTCATGAAATTCTATAAAACCGTAAGGAGACTTCGATACAGTTTCGTCGTGATTATCTCATCAATCGAGATAATAATCATAATATATTTTATCGTATAGATTTTTCTACATGTCACGCAAATTGTTTATACATGTTTTCCTATATGATACAATCGATGGATAAATGGTCGTTACAATCATAAAATATTCGTATTAAATATTCGTTTTGATTAATAATATTTCGATTTATTATAGGTGCTTCAATGGAATGTCGTGGAAACTGTTATATCGGAAATCGTCGTGGATCGACCGATTACAAGCCATTATTGAGAAGACTATCGACATGTAATCGTATCGATTTCGATACAAATATCAGAACATCGACTCTATGCTCTTCAAGTTCAGAACAGAACGTATTTCATCGTTCGAGAAGCAACAGTATTATCGCAATGACGCATGCGCCTGAAAACGTAACGAGAATGCCATCAGGACCCGACGGTACTCGTGGCTTTCTCAATCGTTCCGCAAAAATATCGATGCCAGCAGAACTTGTTTATCGAATAATATGAAAGGACTCGTATCGATGCTAGCGGTAAGAATAAAAATCTATCGGCGTACTTATACGAAATAATATCGAAGCATCGTTCTAAATTAAATATTTTGCAAGTTAAGAGATTGATAATCAATATAAAACATTGAATATTCCTTAATTTTTTCTTTTCTATCGAAGTGCTAATACGATATTAAATATTATTAAATTATAAAATGTTAAAAATAAAAAGACGTTATTTCGTTACTGGTATTTATCATTATATGTAGCATTTATTTTATTTTAGGAATACCGAATGAAATAAATTATAATAATGAAATATCGGTTAAAAATTGGGATTTTTTTTTTAATTATTTGTGTACAGTCGTTATTTGACATTTAGAAATGTATATATACTGTAAGCACGGCTGAGATATTGTTAAGGCTGAATACTCAGCTGAGAACTCCGCGTTGACGGTAGCGACGTACGTTGTGATGAAAAATAGAAGGTCATTCATCCTTGTTCATCTTATCCTTGTCCTAGCACAATTATCAGAAGGTAAGTAGGTGCCAGCAATAAATATTTACTTAACAAAAGGTAAGTACAAAGCAGAAAGGAGAGCAGAGATTCCTTTCTATTGGCAGTAATGTACAGGGAATTTTGATGGTCCCACGAAAAAGGCCGAGATAGCCTTTCCCCGTCTATAGCTGGATGCATGATGAAAACCAGGGTTTGTTCTTTTTAATTGAATAGCTGCACTAGTTCAAAGTTTATCTTTCTTCTTCCGGTGTAAGAAAGAAAGATAAACTGTGAACTAATACAACCAGTTCAGCCAAAAAGAACAGAGCAGGGGACAGACACAGGTAACTGATTTCGACCAATCAGAAGCTGCAAAGAATATCGGAGATATTTCTGATTGGTCGAAATCTGTTGTCTATTTCCTGTTCCCTGTATTTTTCATTGTGCATCCAGCTTATCATTTGGCCTGTTCTTTTTGACTGAACTGATTGTACTAGTTTACAGTTTTCTTTCTTTCTTACACTGGAAGAAGAAAGATATAAACTCTAAACTAGTGCAGTCAGTTCAGCTAAAAAATACAGGCCCATTGAAAGACTTAGGCTACAGTCAATGTAACACT